CTCCTAACATGTGTGTTCGTCTGCTCGTGTGTCTGTGTATCCAGGCAGTACAGAGACATGTCCCATGTTTCATTTGCACAATCTATTGCACCTGGGTAATGTCATTTATAACCGTGTGTGTGTTCATGTGTCCTCTTTCAATCCTGGACGACAGATACAGAGAAATGAGCAAGACAGAGAATTAAGATTCAACAGAACACCAATGAGATTTGTGTTGTGTGTGTTTGTGCATGCATATGATTTTGTGTGGTTTTTCAGCATACATGGGGCTAAAACTCATAATATCGTGGGAAGCAAGTGTGAATAATATTAACCAATGAGAAAATCACATATTCGGAGCAGAGGAATGACCCTGGATAAATAACATGTTTCTATGAGCTGTGCGTAGAGTCGGGATGGAGGCAGTGTGTGCGATATGTATATTTTGTAAGTGCAGACGGGTGTATTGAGTGTTTTTTTTGCTAAAAGAATGCAAGGGTTTTTTGTTAGATTTATACACAGCTATTAAAGGGAGGAGAATGGAAGCTGAGAATCAGGTCAATAAAAGAACATGATGTACAGTAGATCCTAGAAGATGAAATCCAACACTTCGCGAAAGTAAAAAAAACAGCTGGTGCTCATTATTTTCTGGGTTAATTCTGCATCCCTGTTTTTCTTCTCCACCTGGAAGACTGCTCATTGCATGCTTAGATATCTCATCTTTCATTCAGCCGTCTAAAACACAATTGATTTTTTTGTATAAAGAAGCAATCATGGATGCTTCCTATTGTGTTTCAATCAGTCTTTTTCAATACTGTTAGATGTATTGTTACTGCCTTCACAAAAGAGGCAGTTTTGTAATATACATCAACATACAATATTACCATATCCTGGAAAGATATTTATTAAATAAAACTGATGGGATGTAGTGTTGTGTGTCCCCTTAAGTTAATACTTGTATCATTTCTGTATAATAGTTTTTATTTTGGAGAAATACTAATAATATTCAACATTTCTCATATTTTCCCAGAAGCCAATTTAAGCTTTACTTGACCAAAGTATGAGGCAATGGCTCCTTATTAGGAAGGTTATATTCCGACAAGTTTAGCATCAAGATAAACAATGTATTGTCAATGTCAAAAAATACATTGAAACATCAACTTTCCTGTAATGTTATTAACCGATTGACAAACGATGCTAAACTATTACACAAACTGTGCAAACAAATTCCTAATACAACTAACTCAAACTTCTGGCAGGAATATGTGGAAGATTATAATTCAGTATTTTATGACACCCCAAATGTTAGTTCAATACAAAGGAAACTTTTTAACGCCAAGCAGAAAAATATCTGAGAAAGCTTAGTGCATGGATTAGTAATGGTTAGAAGGGTAATACGTTATTACCTTTTTGTCATGTATTTAAATGCATTGAAGCTAACATCACTAAAATAGCTTTATTCTGCAAAGCCTGGGAGGTGGGTACAATTGAATAATTAGTGTTCCATATTAATAAACTGTCCGCACACATTGCTAATCCAATGCCCTCGATCATATAATTATGTTGGCCTGAGACACCTGCTTTTAGATTCTGTTTCTCGCGCAGCTCAAACCAACTTCACGTTTAAAAACGAGGAAGCCACAAGGCCACCGCGTAATGGAAACACACAGCTGGGTTAACAAGGCTCAATATCCGTCTTTTATTCCACATTCCAGCACTGAGATTGGTCCATAAAACATCATAGAGAGCATAAAAGCCCCACTTTGTGGTCTGTCAGAGGTATGCGCTCAGAGAAACACACACAGTACTCAACAAAATCACAAAGACTTTCAAGTGAGCTTAGCCCTCCAGTACTGATGTTCTGAACTGTTCACACATAGGGTTATTATGTCCTTGAGTTTATTACCTGTTGCCGTCATACAGCAGAAGGAACGATTGATTTTTTCCAAATGTATATTATAAGATATAAGAGATCATTGTCTTGATGGCTGCTCCAACCAAGCTCCTTCACAGCATACACGTCTATCCTGGAAGATTCACCCAATGTTACCCAGTGTCTCAGTAAAAGACTAATCCAGTGACAGTCTACATTTGCAGGCCATTGAGTCTGCACCCAATGCAAACTCATTTCAGATCAAAGTCAACATTATTGTCAATTCCACAGACAGGGATCCAAATTCAGTTTACCACCATCCCAGAGAATACAAAAATAAAAATCCTCTCCAAGGACGGACAGCCGTTCAATAGATGTCGTCTGTAAATTAAAAAGATAGAACATTGACAACATAGGTAGTCCGAATGCTGAAAAATGCATGTGTCTATAAATAAGAAGAATATGAACCCAGGTGGATGTCAATAATCCTGTGGGAGCCATCAAATCAAAATGAAGGTGAGAATCAGGCAGGACCACAGGGACAGGCCCAGCCATTACTCAGGATCATGTATCTGTACTGTGACATCCCAGTACAGAAAACACTTTTCTGGCCGTTATTTTACGCCATTAATCAGAAATCGAATAGAAACATTTTTACCATATTTGGTCACATTTTCAATGAGTGTGAGTGTGACTCATTTTGGTTGGGCACCTTGAAACATCCACACTTTAGAAAACTGTAGCTTCTTTGCAGCAACATCCATAATGACATGGATACAACTTCATTTTCTAGCAGTATTAACTTTAGCACGTGAACACATACAAGGAATTCTACAATGGCTGCACGATTTGTGAAATGATATTGTGGACTGTATAGCGAATTGCGATTGCAATAAAAAATGGTATTGTTTGCTTGCTTAGTTACGCAAAGGAAAATACACAGTTTAAAAGTGTATCAATTTAAAACGTCTACTTGCTAATCAGGATCTATTTCCACTGGTCTCTGGCTCTGCTCGCACAGTGGATAGTCATCTGACCAAACACGGTAGTCTTTACTGCCTATTCAGAGACTGATTGGTTGGCTAATGGCTATGCATCAGACTGCACACAAAATGACTACGAAGTCACAGAATCACTGAATTTTGAGTGTCATATTGTGATTGGAATAAGATACATTGTGCAACCCTTAATCTGATTTAGTACCAAAGGTACCAGTGTGAGTCCACTTCTATCACTTCACGTCCACCACCAGCTCAAGTGATTGTTTGTTGTACCATGTGACAAAGCTATATCTGTACTCCTCTTCCCCAAAGAGCATGTTTCTCACAGGATATTGTTCCCTTCAATCAGATTTCAATATAATCATAGCTTCCATTTACACCAAAAAAAAAAGCATTTCATACCATTTTATTAAATACATGAAAGTGTCTTCTAGATATTTGGAGTCTGGGCAGGCTTTGATGTACAGTAAACCGATGTCAGGCAGAGGCATACAACTGTGAGTGAGTCATTCTAGTTATTTCATAAAAGTCCAAACTCTCTGGAGTTGTTCTCTTCTGGCTGCTTGAATTGAGTGTTTTTCCATATTCTGAATGCAACCTGTCCATTCATATGCATATAAGTACATGACAACATATGGCAGCAGATGGTAAGCATGAATTCATTTTTCAAAGTATCACATGTACCTGAAAGCCTTCCAGACTTTAAATCAATACAAAACTAAATGTCCCATCAGATTTAATGTGTAGTGCAGTTACCACATTTTAGACTAAGTATTTGTAGACCCGTATTGGATACTGTGTGCGCCTATAACAAAGGCATCTTAATGGGAACATATTACGCTCATTTCAGGCATTTATTAGTATTTTGTCTCTACTGTGACATGTTCACTTGCCCAATGGTTCGAACGGGTCTTTATTGTTCCCATACTGCCTGTGCTGCAGCACCTCTTTTCACCCTCTGTCTGAAACCAGAGCCCAGTCTGCTCTGATTGGTTAGCTGGCCAGATCTGTTGTGATTGGTCAACCGCTTACAAATGTCTCGGTTAGTCCCGCCCCTTACCATATCATGTCAAATGTGTTGGAGCGCTAGCCAATGGAAGGGCAAGTATTACATAGTGATGCCACTATATTATGGAAAACCCCTCTTGAGGGAACAGAGGGATTTTAGCCTTTGTAGATCATTTACATGCACAAAAACCTATATAACACATGGGGAAAACTTAAAAAAACAAAAGGGCCTCAGCAAATGCAGTTCTGCTTTTCCTGGCATTACAACACATGCGGGCAGAGATAACAATGTGTCAGTTCTTCATTACATTACATTGCATTTAGCTGACGCTTTTATCCAAAGCGACTTACAATAAGTGCGTTCGTCCAACAAAATACAACTTGAGGAAAACAGAATCATATAAGTACATTAGGCTTCATAGAGCAAAAACATTTCAAGTGCTACTCACCTGGCTTTAGAAAATCATATTTACTATCACTATACGATTGCTGTATCTTACACTTACAATTCAAACCGAGTTGGATGCAACTACAGTGTTGCCACAGTTTGACATTTCAAAAGGTTTGTGAGCTTTGTTTATGGAAATATCCCTTTTGCTTATTCAAAATGTGGCATGGGATATGAAGCAATAGTCTTTTTATGTATTTGAATGGGTGAGCTGAATGGATCACATGTGCAGTAAAGATCACAATGCATGAAGACCCCTAGAAACAAGAGATGGATTGAAAAAAAGAAGAATCTTTCAAAGCATGTGATTAGACAAATGAGTACTTGGATGTGTGGAAATGCATCGAGAAGAGTTTCCAAGTGATTTACAGATTCTCCCTTTGGTTTTTCCACTAATGAGAACATCTGCATGAGTGGAACAGATGGAGTGAGAGCGAGATAGCCGAAGGGGAAGGCTGTCTTTGAGGAGGAAACAACTAGACTTAGAGAGACTGAGTGCAGAAAAAAAATAGTTGAAAGAATTCAGTAAGTGGTTCAAAAAGGGGGAGGGCGATTGGAATCAGAATAGAGCTTCAAGTAATTGTCGAGAAGAACAATTGTCAAGGCACTGCACAAAGAAACTCCAAGACGTCTTTTTTTTGCACTCACTAATTCATGTAATTTTGGCTTTTGATTTCCTCCTTTCCCCTAGGTGCCAATGCCCGGCTCAATTCGAAGGGCCTGAGTGCCAGCAGAACAAACACAGTTTCCATGGCAACGGCTATGCTTGGTTTCCTCCCATGATGCCTTGTTTCGAGAGCCACGTGTCGCTGGAGTTCATCACGGACGTGGCGGATGGACTGCTGCTGTACAGCGGCCCCCTCGCCCAGCTGCAGGCCTGGGACCCGGAGGACTTCATGGCCCTAGGTAGGAGACGTCTCTAGCTTCATAACATACAAATATACAAAACCTGACCTTTCTTATCAGCTATGTGTCAGTGGTGGAGACATTTGTGGTCAAAATGTACATACACTTGTAAATAATATGTATGTCATGGCAGTCTTGAGTTTCCAATAATTTCTACAACTATCATCTCTCTGTGATTGGATTGCTTGTGGACAGTGCTGAAGAAAAGGACTGATCAAAGTTTCAACCAGAATCTTGCCAGAAGCGCCTCCTTGAGGTGAAAATGGCCGAGGGACATGTAAACCAATATTAGCATTACTGTATGTATGTATATTTTTTACCCTGGAGATTTGATCACATTTTCCGAAGACCCATAATAAATTCATAAAACATGTTTTGTGACAAAGAAGTATGTGCTCCAATCACTCTATCACAGAAAAACAATAGTTGTAAAAATAATTGGAAACATAAAACTGCCATGACATACATATTCTTTACAAGCGTACATTTTTGACCACAACTGTATTAGCATTCCAGTATTCTGGGGAAAAAGGCTTTTTTTTAGGAATGTATCATTTTTTATTTGAAATTACATAGTATTTATATTACAGTTTTCACAATTGACCATTCTATACTGTGATCCATCTTTTAAGGTTCTTTCCAGTACAATGACTGGAAACCAGAGCACAAACAATCAGAAACATTTCAAATAAAATCTACAATCTAATGTGTTTTAACAGAAAGAAAATAAAGTAGGGAGCCATTGAGGAAAGGATGATCTGTATTACAAAGATTTCATATTTCATATTATACCAGTGACTTATTTGATGTCATTTTCCTGTAATTGCTTTTCTAGCGCCTACACACAATTTTCCAATAGGTATATTTTTCGGGTATTTCTGGATATTGAATCTAGAACCCTGAAAAGAAAAAAATATATATTAACCTGTTAAAGGTGTACTTTTCTGTATTTCATTAAACCAACCAGAATCGCCTTAGGTTGCGCTAAGCACGAGCACAGGCGATGGTGCCAAATAAATAAAGTGGAGGGTGAGTAGATACAGTGTGAGGTATGCTGCTTATGGTAGGCTTGTAGCCATAGTTGTATTCTACATTCAGTGAATCAGCCTACTTTTAATAAGATGAGAATACAAAGTCTGATTATTGACCTTTCGTTATCAGCAGGTATTGGTCCTGATTGTAAGGACACATGAGTTAGAGAGGAGTTAGAGTTTTGTAGACCTGTATCTTCCCAGTCTTGAGAAAACGCATCACAAACAGTGCATACATTATATTTTTGCCTTTTAGCATTACCTCAGACTACATCCATTTCCTTCGACAATACTTGATTGACTTCAAGCTGATTTGCCTGAGGGCAGCCTTGATTTATTAAAGTTCAAGACCTTTATTAGGTGAGGTGAATAATGGAAGGATTTAGTGTGGCAGGATAAAGAAGAATGGGAAATAGAAGAGGTTTCATCTCAGCTCTGGAGCTCTACTCCTAAAAGAAAGTTAGGATCCAGTTTAAAGTCACTTGATACTTGAGTTCATCTGCTAGGGCTGTGTGGGTGTATCTGGATAAAAAGGTTGTGAACTACTAGACTACATGTGAAGGAGCGGTCATATTTGAAATGGTGAAATTGTGCATGATAAATACATGTTCAAGACCCACCTCTACCGCACCACATTTTACTGACTGTCCTTTACTTTATTTATTTTAAATCTTACATCTTTTTTTATATTGCCATATTGTATTCAATATGCTCCTTAGATATCTTTTTATTTTATTTGTTTTATTATTTTCTCTTTATAGCTTTGTGAAGCACCTTGAGATGACGTTGTTTTAAAGTGTGCTATATAAATCAAATGTATTATTATTATTATTTAATATAGACAAGCTAATCTGTGCCGTTGACCAATAGCAAGCTGTCATGACAGGGCTGACCTTTGAGGGAAACGAGAACTAGGGTGTTTCTCAATGTCGAGGACACTTGCTTGGTAGCACGTGTCTTCCGAGTCACTTGCTTCAGAAGCGAGGCAAGAATCCTTCCTAGCCTCGGAAAACGAAGAATGGTGGAACAGGCTAACAGGTGTGCAGGTGTGCGTCATATGAGGCACTTTCCACTCTCTCCACACTTTGCATCTTTGCAATACAAGTGAGTAATGTCTCTCACTTCTGTATGTGCTGGGGGTTTTGTAAATAGCACTGGTTGAATGGCCCCATCTCTGACAATCCACCCCTTGCCAACAGGACTCCATAACAAGGGTTTGGGTTCGGGCTGCGACACCATATCGCTGTCTGAAACATTGCTCTTTACATGTTGTTTAAATGCATCCTCTGTTGGCGGCAGATTTTCCGAGGCTGCATCTGTTGCTGATGCAATTATGAACCTCAGTTCATCCAAGTTTGTGTATCAGTCCAATTTCCTTTTTTCCATATAGCAGAAGCGCAAATTATCTTGCGACTGGCAAAGACTCTTCCAAGATAGAACAAAGCAAGAGAGAGTCCAAAATGGGCCAGATCTTTGAGCTCGCTGAGATGGGTCTTGAGTTTGGTGAATTTCATTTCATTTCAAACCTTTATTTACCCAGGTGTATCCCATTGAGGTCATTGATCTCTTTTTCAAGGGAGACCTGCTCAAGTAGGTTCCACATGAAACATAAAAACATAAACAGAACAACAAAAAGGACATGCTGTTGTCTTTCCTATTCTGTACAAACGACTTGTTGTGCCGCAGCCAGTGAGTGCACGACATGCTGGTAGACAGTTAGACATGTCTTTTCCAATTTTCTCACATATGATGTTGATGGGGACATATCTCTCTCTCATTCCATGGCCTGCATGCATGTACACTAGAGATGTACCAAACATGTATGCTTGCATAATATATGAGCAGTACTTCCACACCTGTGTCATCAGACCTCACAATGATGCGGGAATATGACTCGGGAAAATCCTGAGTGTAGTCTCTGTGGGGCAGCAGTGACAATGTAGTTGCTCACAAACATGCAGAGTGCAGTCTTGTTTCCACTACTCCTCAAGTACTTCCTGTAGTTTGGGACATTTGTTTTGCTTTAGGTTATAACACTTGTGTTATTCTTCAGAGATGGGTCCTCATTACAGATCTGCACTTTTGCCTAAATATTTGTTTTTAGGCCTTTCAACGTCTCATTTTTGTTCCCATATCAGGTTATCGTCAGACATCGGTATATTGGAATTAACAATAAGAGTTCAAATGAACAGGTCTTCTCAATGTTGTTTGAATAATTTTGGGAAGAAATAAAACGTATATTTGCGAGTTGGCATCTACGATTGTTTGTAATATATATTATACTATATATCAGTGTTTCCCACAGAATGTGATTCTATTTGTGGGGGCACCGCACCCCCCCCAGCAAGAAAAGCCAAAGGCCCCTTAACCTATTCGGGTGGTCCACGAATCCACTCCCCCCCTCAAATAAGATAATACATGGAGTTCATGGCTACTGTAGACAACGTTCTTGTTGCTCTGTGTTGCGTTGTTAATGAGTGAGACACTCCGGAGTTGAGGATCTGTGGGGTTTATTCTCCCAACAATAACATTTACAATTCAGGCATTTAGCAGACGCCTTATTCCAGAGCGACTTACAATGACCAGTTACAGGGACATTCTCCCTGGAGTAACTGAGGGCTAAGTGCCTTACTCAAGGGCACACTAGTAGTGGTGTTCCAGGCGGGATTTGAACTCGCAACCTTCCGATCATCAGCCCACCTCACTATCCATTATTAGACCACCACCAAAAAAAAAAAAAATACGATATTTAATTGTGGCGGCCCGCCACAATTAAATCAATCTATGGGAAACACTGATATATATATTATTACGGGAGGTTACAACATTATATGATTTGCATGTTTTCATCAATATGTTATGGCAGAAACAGAAATGTACAGGAGAAATACGCTGCACTTCGCCTCTCAAATTCCCTCTGAATTGTACTGACGTCTACCGAATGTTTGTAGACAAAAATCCATTTTCGGTTCAATTCCCAGAGTCTCCTTTGCATTTTGAAGTTGTGTAGTTCTGTTATGAATGGATTTCGGTGTGTAAACTGAGCTTCGGCAGGTTTACATCTCTAGCTCTCGGGAATATTCAGTCATTTTCTTTTGTTGCTGTAGCAATATTGTTAAAGTTTGAAGACAATACAACTTGTTGTAACGGAGAACACATTGTCTCGGTTTATTTACTGTTTTAATCTGAGAGACTAACGCCTCCTTGTCTCTCTCGCTACTTATTTTCTTGCATTCTGCCTCTCCTGGGAGAGATGCTGGTAGTTCCATCACTGCCAAAGTAATGTGTGTGGGAGGGAGGTCCGCCTGGAGAGCCTGTGTGTGTGTGTGTGTGTGTGTGTGTGTGTGTGTGTGTGTGTGTGTGTGTGTGTGTGTGTGTTGTGTGTGTGTGTGTGTGTGTGTGTGTGTGTGTGTGTGTGTGTGTGTGTGTGTGTGTGTGTGTGTGTGTGTGTGTGTGTGTGTGTGTGTGTGTGTGTGTGTGTGTGTGTGTGTGTGTGTGTGTGTGTGTGTGTGTGTGTGTAAAATAAATGGGTTTGGAATCATTCTGAATTATTTCTGTAGCTTACGTTGGTGTCTGTGTGCATCTGAGAGCCAGCCAGTGTGTGTGGTTGGATCCTAAGGAGCTAATGTGTTTGTGGCGTTCAGGTTGAGTTGTCACTGCGCAGAGTGTAATTAGAGTGAGGCTGTACAAATGTAGAGCTTTAATTAACTTGTTTCAAGGTTCACCTACTGCATGAAAAAAAAAATCCATCAGCAGCCTAGACTATGCTGGAGCTTAATCATCGTCGGCTGTCACTCGTAGTCAAGTATGACTGTCCTCCTTCTTGGTCCTTGTGGGTCTTCAGGTGGGCGTAGAGGCCGATTCTGGACCTGATTATTCTTGTGCAATGTGGACATGGGAATGTAGTGGTGGAGGGTTTGGGTTGGACCTGTTTGGTGGTTGCTCTCTCCTTCCTGAGTCTGCGCTTGT